AGACAGCGGAACCTGGACCCCACCGCCTGCCTGGGGAGGGGACTGCACAGCTACCTGCAGAGTTGACTTAGCAGCAGCAGTTTCTGCTGAGGCCGCAGAGCTCCTGCTGGGAGGAGCTCCTAGCCGCAGGGAGGCTGGGGCGGCTCTGACATACTGCTCCTCCGTCTTGCCTATTTCAAACTTGGGTGTTCTGCCTGTGACCCCTGTTTGCACTGTGCTGTCCAGCAAGCCTAGGGAAAGGCCGTGGGTCACTCATTGCTAATAATGGGGTCCAGGGGCGTCCAGCCTGAGCCACACCTGTGTGTCCCTCTGGGTGGGGCAGGTGTCAGCATCCCTGCCTCCCTGCACAGCGCACAGCAGGCCCCAGGGAGGCCAAGCCAGGGTAATATGAGGTGCCTGTCCTAGTGGTGGGGGCAGGGTCCCGGGGACTGTCTCACCCACTCCTCCCTTCCCAGGTAGGAAACTGAGGCTGGGTGAGGGCAAGTCCGTGGGATGTGGCAGGGCAAGGAGGCCACCTGGGTTTAGGCAGTTCACTTAGGAAATGCTCCCCGCCCCCAGGAACCCCAAGTGACATGACCCAGGAGGCTGTGCTGTGGACTGGCTCTGCCACTTCCTAGCTGGGTGACTTTAGGCAACTCACTTAACCTCTCTGAGCCTCACCCTCCTCATCTATAAACAGTATTGAGCTCACGCAGGTGAAGCTGTTAAAATATATGTGGCCCCACTGAACATTCCAGAACCCTGTCGCTGTCAGTTGCTCTCTGCACAGGCTGTGGAGCCACAGAGTCTGGGGCCGGGGGGCCCACACTGCCACTCACAGGCTGAGTGACCTTGAGCGGCCACCTTGGGAGGCAGGGCCTGCTAATTCAGGTATGGCAACCATGACAACAATAGCTAGTGTCCATGTGCCATGCTCTGTCCTAGCGTTTCCCACGTGTTCACGCGTTGACTCCTCAGCCGCCCCTGTGAGTGGGAACCGTGTCACCCCTGCTCTCCAGGCGAGGAGACGCGGACAGCCAGCGCCGCCGGTCCGTGGCAGGGCCGGGCCTGGGTTCAAGCCCGCCTGGCCTCCGAGTCCACGTCCCTCATTGTTGCACCTGCTACTTCTGTAAAACTCCCTGTAAAACAGGAAGTCCACCTACCACGGGATGTCATGTGAGGACCAGATAAGGTCAAAGACTTCGTCTTAATGAAATGAGATGATTTAGCAGAGCGCACCACACTTCGCAGTAAATAATTGTCTTCTGCTGCAGTGACGATGATGATGACAAAGTTGGTGGTGGTGTCGGTGATGATGATGGAGATGATGATGGTGGTCATGATGGTGATGATGACAGTGATGATGGTGATGATGGTGGTCATGATGGTGATGACAGTGGTGATGATGATGATGGTGGTGGTGGTCATGATTTTGATGTTGACAGTGATGATGGAGGTGATGACAATGGTGATGATGGTGATGATGGTGGTAATGGTGATGATGGTGATGATGACAATGCTAATGGTGATCATGATAGTGGTGATGATGGTGATGACTGTGATGATGATGATGATTATGTCCCTCAAGACCTTTCCCTGCCCCTCAGGGCGTGTCCCAGCACAGAAGCGTGAGTGTTTCTGGGAGCCAGGGACAGGGAAGGCCTGAGCCATGCGAGTCTTTCATAAGACGGTCAGAGATGATGTCTTTTCTGAAGGGTCCCTTTCTCTTATAAAACAGAGATAGGAGAGAGGAATTTAATGTTTTAATGTCCTTACTGAGCCAGATTAAAAACTTAGTAAACCTAGTGTTGGTCTCCTTCCCTACTGCGTTTAAAATTTTACTGGTCTGTGAAAATCCTGAAGTCCGGGGACCACCAGCTAGCTGACCCGGCCTAGAAGTGGTGCCTTGCCTGAAACACAATTTTCTTCTAGTAAACACGTGCACGTGCACACACACCCTCCACTACACACTCCCCTCTCTGCTCCTGGACCCTGCAACCCCTGACCTCAGCAGGGAACCTGCTCTAGTTAGCTCCAGCGCCCAGCCGTTGCCTAGACAACCAGCACAAAGCTGCTGCGCGGGGGCCTAGGGGACAGAGGTAATTAAGAGTGATAATAGCAATTAACAGCCAGTCCCTGTGGGCCTTCGCTGGCCGCAGGAGCTACTCTGCTTAACCCCGCGGAAAGGCGCAAGCCTCACTCATCCTTCCACGTGGATGGCCCCAGCATGGATGCATCTCCTGGCCACGTGCTCCTCCACATTGCTGACAGACTGCGGGGGCCCCTCGCCCTGCCAAGGGAGGGCCAGCAGCATCCTTGGGGCCCTTCTTCACCCGCCTCCGAGGTGCTGGGCCCCAGAGAGCAGAGCCTGAGGCCCCACCCTGCTGAGTCCTTCCAGTCCCTGCACCTGGGGCACAGGGCCTGGCTCCCAGGGGGACCTGACAAATGACAACTGGAATTGGACACATGCGCAATGCAGGATGCCAGTGCAGAGGGGGAGGAGGACACAGCATCTGAGCACGCGTGGTCCAGATGCCCAGCACAGGGGAGGTGCGTGTGGCTTGACTGGAAGTGCCCAGCCTGGGGAGGGTCCGGTGCACTCGGGCCACCCTGGTGGGGTGTGGTGGGTTTTTATGTGCTGATCACACAATGTGCCCTTTCCGTTAGGTTGGCAACCATTGACATGGGATATATCTGCTAGGGGTTAGGCAGCAGAGAAACAAGGCCAGGTCCCCATCCCTGAGCATGTGGCGAGGACGGGGCATCTGGGGGTCAGAGAGCGTGTGGTGTGGTTACAGCCGCGTGGGCACTGGAGCCCGTCTGCCGGCCAGGCTGCTAATCCTGGCCGGCTGTGTGGTGGGTGTGTGACCGTGTCTTGGCAGCCCTCGCTGTCCTCATCCACGGCCACAGACCCGGGGAAGGACTCGGTGAATGTCACCGAGGATGAAGATGGTGGTGATGCAGAGAGATGGAGCCAGGCAGAGGACCACAGCTCGTTAGCTGTTTTAAGTCTGCAGTTCGATCATTGTGCATCTCAGTAACCTTTTTTGTTGTATAACAAAGTGACAGAAATCTATATTATTGGCAACCTTATTTTTGGCAGTCTATTTACATATAATGCATGACTTTTCTTGAAACTTAAATTGCTTATTTTGTTCACATAATGTCATTCTTTTAATTAGCTCTGGGAAAGGAGACCAGCGTTAGTCAGCGCCAGGGCGTGCTGTTGACGGCCACCACACCGTGGAACTGTCACACCTGAGTAAGGAGCAGTGGGTGAGCAACGCAGTGAACACAGGCAGACGTTTAAGATAGCAGGATGTTTTAAACGTAGATGAGCTGGTTCTTTTAAATCACAGGTGCCTCCCGGGGGCACCCACAGTCCTGAGCAGGGCTTTGCAGAGCGGCACTCATGAGTGGGAGGGGCACGGGCTGCCCCGGATGTCCCCGGCTGGCCTTAGGGGGCCTGCAGAGTGGCGTGTGCACCCCCACGGGGTGGCCATGGCCACCGAGTGTCGAATTCGAGAATGGCGCCTACAGCAGGACCTGGTACGCAGCGAGCACTCGATGAGTGTCAGTGGGGATGGGGACGATGACGCAGTGGCTGTCCAAGGACTCATGAGTGTTGTATCGTCCAAGCCTCGGGGTTTGTTGGGAGCCAAGGGGAAGGAGTAGCGAGGTAGGTGGGGGCTGAGTCCCAGGGGACCCATCTGCCCCGCAGGGCAGGTAGGGCAGTGCCAGCTGCTGTAACAGAGACATGCCAAGAGCACAGCCTAATGCAATAGAAATTCAGTTCTTGCTCATGTAGTAGTCTTGTGCACGGAGACCCAGGTATCTTGAATCTTGGATCCAGGTGTTGACTCTACCATCCTCCGGGGCCTAGGAGGCCTAAGCTGTGAGCTGGTGGGAGCTACAGGAGAGGGCAGGGAAGGTGCACTGGCTCCTGCAGAAGCCCAGGCTGGGGGAGGACCCTTCTCCTCCCCAAGTGTGCTCGCATCCCATTGGTGAGAACCGCTCAGGTGGCCACACCCAGCCACAAGGGTAGCTGGGAAATGTAGTCCTGGGTCCAGGACACCTGCCTCCTCCCCACCCCAGGGCATCCACGGGCTGTACACAAAGGCAGGCACTTCCAGGGAGCAGCCAGCTGCGTCTGGGCAGTGAAGGAGCCGAGACCTCGATACCCGTAACTGTTCACTTTTGAACTGCACGGGTGTGCATTTTGGGGTTCAGGAGAGAAAGAAGCATATTCACCTTAGAATATGGATGGAGGAAGCTGACAAAGGACAGGGTTATTTACAGAGTTTAAATCAGATTTTGAGCCATTTTCCTGAAGTCAGTTGCATAATTTCTCTGAATTTTTTGCAGGGCTTAGGAAGGAGATTGTGCAGGAAATCGGGTGGAAAATGTCTAAACAGTAAATGGGGAGCCGCCGTATTTCATGTATTTGTGTTGTGGGTTTTTTCCTGCCTCTAGCACTGGGTCATCTATTAAATCTAATTACATCGCTCACATCATTTCCAATGAAATTTACGCTAAATCTGCTGAGTAAGGGAGGCAAGCAGAGGACTTAATTAGAAACGTTAATCATGTTTGTTTGGTGCTTTTTTTTTTTTAATGGAGAAGGCAACTATAATCAGGAAAATAACAATAAACATTCTTTCTTTCCCCAAAGGCAGCCATCTGCAGGTTGTCAGATTGCAAGGGGGCTCAGTGGCACCACTTCAGAGCAGTGTTCTAGCAGCTTCCGCGTGCCAAGGGGGCTGTCTCCTCCCCACGGTGCCTCTCCCGCCTCCTCCCGGAGCCAGGCCTGCAGGACTGTGGTCAGCGCCAGGTTCACACGCGTTTCCCAGATTCTGCAAAGTCACACCCAGACCAGGCCTCATCCTCCTCCCAGACCATTCCCAGGAGACCGGACATCATGCTTCGTAGGGATAAATGAGAGGCCCCGCCAGCCTCGTGACGGTCCAGCATTTGGGGACCGAGACTTTTCTAAACAGTGTTTCTCTTTCCTTTGTGTACAGAAACCCGGGCAGACCGCAGCAAGAAACTCTTCCGGCACTACACGGTGGGCTCGTATGACAGTTTCGATGCCGCCAGGTGAGACATGCTTCTTTCTCTACCGGGACCCTCCGGCTAAAGATGCTCCTTCGTGCCGCAAACGGTCTAGACCCTCTTGCTTCCCGACCGCGTGGCTTGCTTACCCTGTGTGTCCACTGTCCTCTAGAGACCCTGCCTGGCAGGTGGTCTTTGGGTCCAGCCGAGCACACCTGTGGTCCCAGGGAGGGGGTGGCTGGCGTTGTTTGGGGGGAAAGCGGCACAGATGTGCAGGTGCCCACAGGTGGCCACAGGAGCCGGGAGGCAGTGTCAGGGTAGTGGTATCCCACTGGGGGAACGTTTAGGAAGCCTTGGGTCTGGGTTTCCACCTCAGCTGCACTTTCCATATTGCTGTGCCCATTCCTCCCCAGGCCTGACACCAGGCAGGCAGATCTAAGCACAGCGGGTTTGGACTTGCTGGTTTGTGCAGAGCCCTGCGCCGTTGGCGACGGCACCAGCCCCTGGGTTGGATTTGCGTACGGAGCCACACTCGTGCGGCACACGCTATGGGACACCCTCGGGTCCTTGTGTCCCTCTGCGTCCAGGGGAGACCTGGCTAGGGCAGGGGCCAGCTGGGGGCGGGGAAGGGCCCCCTCCGTGCGGAGCCTGTGACCCGACTCAGACAGAGGGTTCTCGGTGGATGCTGAAACGTCGGCACGGGAGTAGCCTGCGCCTGGCCCAGCTGTCCAGCTGTGGCGCCCTTTCCGGGGGGCCGGCTAGGGAAGGTCCGACGCCCTGCCCGGATTCTTCCCCAACCCCAGGGAGTCTGTGATGAGAGCTCAGACCTGCCCCCTTCACTCTCCCCTGCCTAGTGAGGGCCCAACCTGGGTGGGTTGGTGTTTGTTTTGTTTTTCTTTAATTGGGATAAAATGTACATAACCTAAAAGTTACCATTTTTAAGTGCACGATTCAGGGGCGTTTTAGTGCATTCACAATATTGTGCAACCACGCCCACTGTCTGGTTCTGAAACATTTCCGTCACTCTCTGGCCGTCTCTCCATTCTCCTCTCCCCGCGGCCCCGCTTGCTCTCGGTCTCCGTGGACGCGCCTGTCCCGACGCTTCGCCCAGAGGAGTCCCACGATACGTGGCCTTTGGGTGTGGGTCCTTCCGCTCGGCATCACGTGCTCGGGCTCTGTCCCCATGGCAGCGCGTGGCAGCGCTTCCCTTCCTCAGGCCTCCACGCCCGGCATTTTCCCGCCATGGCAAAGTCCACATAACGTGGTTTTCTGTCTCAACCGTTTTGAAGCGTGCAGCGCAGTGGCGTCAGGAACATTCCTATTGTCGCGCTACCGTCACCGCCATCCGTCTCCGGAGCTCTTCTTTCTTGCAAGACTGAAACCCTGTCCATATCTGACACGGACTCCCCATCCCCTCCCCCGGCCCGGCACCACCACTCTGCTTTCTGCCTCTGTGGATTTGACTGCGCTGGGGACCTCGTGGAAGCAGGATCACACGGTATCTGTCTTCCCGTGACCGGCTCCTTTCACTCAGCACGTCCTCAGGTCCCCCCGTGTTACAGCCGGTGTCAGAACTTCCTTGCCGTTTATCATGTTCCACGGCAGGGATGGGCCACGTTTTGCTTGTCCACTCGCCCGTCAGTGGCCCCGGGGTTGCTCCACCCTTTGGCTGCTGTGAATGGTGTCTGGCGTGGACATGTGTGTATACGTGTTTGAACCTAGCAGTGGAATTGCTGGTTGGACCTGCTGGCTTGTCAGTACCATCTCTCTCGTAAACAAGATGTGCTATGACAGGAACCCCATGCCCAGCAGGGGGCCGGGACCCCACGTTTTGACCTTAAAGCCAGGTTGTGATCTGTGTCCTGGAGCCCAGCCCAGGTCTTTATTTGGGCCAGATGAGTCGTCTCTGCAGCAGCAGAGACCGCCTGTCCAGGTGGGCCCTGCACAGGTGGCCGTGGTCACTTGGCTGTCACACTGTGCTTCCATTCTAGCGAGGAGGGCCTGGTGATGCCAGTGGCCCACAGTGCCTGAGGCTTGGGGAACACAGGGGAGCTGTTGCCATGGTCACGGTGAGGGCTGCCCAGGTAGGGCGTGGGGTCCAGGTGAGATGTGCCCTCCCAAAGCTGGACAGGTCCAGGCGCAGCCTTCCCTCAGCCTGTGGCTTGCGAGCGGCTGTCTCCCCACCAGGCGGCGTCTCCAGGACAGGGAGGCGTGTGCGTGTGCGTGAGGGTGGCGTGCACACACACAGCATTGAGAGGGGCTGCTCCCCACAGAGGGGCATTGGAAGGACCTGACCCGATAGACCCAGGACAAGAGATGACTGAGGGGTGGGGCTGGCTGGGACCACGTCACCAAGGGGTGACCCTCGGCTAACAGCAGGGGGGCACCGACACAGGCCGCAGCTCAGCTGACGGGAGATGAGTGGCTGTTCAGTGACAAAACAGGCTGCCTCGGGGGGTGATGAGCTCCCCGACATTGGAGGAAGTCAAGCAGGGTGGGGGATTCTCTTGCCAGAATGTCATAGAAGGTGGGACTGTGTGACCCCCGTGACCCTCCCCAGCTCTGCGTCCCCGGGTTCGTGGCGCAGGGAGGGCTTTGTTTCATGCACACAGAGCACCTGCCCTGTCCCAGCAGCTGGGACCGCAGAGGAGAGGGACGTCCGGGCCACCCCGGGGTCCTGGCAGCTCGTGAGCAAACAGTAAACCGTTCTGTCCTTGAACGGAGTGGGGACCTGGGGCCTCCTGTCTCGGGGGGAGGGATCAGACAGACCGCAGGCCCCCCATGACTGATGACCCCCCCCCCCCCCGTGACCGGTGACCCCACCCCCCTGTGACCGATGTTTCAGCAAGAGGAACCGAGTCTAATGGCGCCCTTTGTCCATCTCCGCCCCAGTGCGGCACCTTGCACTGACCGCAGCTCTGCCGCTCCAGGGCCCGCCGTGACCTCGAGGAGGACACTTACGTCGCCCTAGAGGGAAGGACGCTGCGGCTGAGACGGGAAGGCCGAGCTAAGGAGCTGGCCTCGGCCCCAGAGCCAGCATCTGCCCGAGGGGAGGCCTGGCCTGCGGCCCACAGGGCTTGGGGGGGACGTCCCTGCCCCAGCTGCTGATGGGGACGGAGCCGGGTGGGCTGTGGGGCGAGGTCGTCACCTTCCCCTCTCTCACTGGGGGAGGGGCGATGGCGTTGCCTGGGTCAACACCCGACCACTGAGCTTGCTCGTGAGGGTGCAGAGTCAGCCAAGGGCCCGCTGGGTCCGGACCAGAGAACTGGCCTTGAGCAGACTGTGACGTGGCAGGGACGAGAGGGTGGCGGCGTGGACGGAGAGGCGGCTGGTCTTGCGTGCCACTGTAACCCTGCGACCAGCCTGGCCGGGGGGGGGGGGGTGACAGGGTGACCGAGTGTGTTTCTGATGGAGCAGGAAGGTGTTGGAGGCACGGTCACCGAGGTGCAGGTGTGGGGCGGCGGGCAGCACGTGAGCCTGCTCAGAATTCACACTGGAAGTGGCCTAATGAGCAGCGGGGACCTGAGTGCCAGCCAGCCCCGAGGGCCAGTCATCCTCTGTGGGCGGCGGGGTCTCGGGCTGGGCAGGGGGGCCGTGGGCAGCTGGGTCGCGGGCTGGGCAGGGGTGCTGCGGGCTGCAGGGTCACAGGCTGGGCAGGGGCGCTGCAGATGCGGATGAGCTGAGAGAAAGTGCAGTGGGAGACCAGACTCAGTGGCGACATCTCTGAACCAGTCGGGTTTCCCCTTTCACACCCCCTTTATTTCAAAAACTGCTCCGAGCGGAAGAGCCGATTGCTGAGCACGCCCGCTCGCTGGGGCCGCGTCCAGTCGCTCCAGCTGGCTCTCTCCGGGGACTCCCTCCACCTGCCCAGAGGCAGCGACAGAGGGGTCTGGACACGCCGACAAGGGTCGGGCAGCAGAGGCCCTTCTGCATGGGACTTCACAGACGTGTCCGTATCATGTCAGAAAACATGTCGCAACGTAGGAAAGGGAATCTGAAGTTCCTGTTCCTCTTTAGTTAGATCCTCAGCCCTGTCAGCCTGGACCACCTAGGAGGTCTCTAGGGACAGGGGAGACCTCAGGGTCTCACTCTAGGATGAACAGACTCCATCTAGCCATCATCCACCCATCCACTCATCCATCCATCCATATACCCGTCCATCCATCTATACCTGTTCACCATCTGCCCGCCCATCCATCCACTCATTCATCCATCTACCCATTGTCTGTCCATCACCCATCCATCCACTCATCCACCCATCCATCTACCCATCCATCCATCTGCATTTATTCACCTATCCACCCACCCGTCCATCCACTCATCCGCCCATCCATCTACCCATCCATCCATCTGCATTTATTCACCTATCCACCCACCCATCCATCCACTCATCCACCCATCCATCTACCCATCCATCCATCTGCATTTATTCACCTATCCACCCACCCATCCATCCACTCATCCGCCCATCCATCTACCCATCCATCCATCTGCATTTATTCACCTATCCACCCACCCATCCAACACCCATCTCTCCATCTGTTTGACCAATAAGTATCAAGACCCGACTATTCCAGAATAGTCTACACTGAAGATGTAGCAGTAAACAGGACAAGCACAGTCTTGAGCTCATGTAGACTACAGTCTAATAGTAAAGATAAATGATAAAGTTAGCCAGTAAAGAAACCAGAGAATTTCGCTTTGTGGTTAATGCTTCAGAGCAAATTTGCTAGACTGTCGTAGAGTCTCTTGGGCAGAGTGGGCCAGGCCAGCTTTGGGCCCAGAAGCCAGGGAGATCTCTCTGAGGAAGTGACTTTGGACTTGAACCTCTAAGAGAAGGCCTGGCGAGTGCAAAGGCCCTGGGGTGAGAGGAGGACCTGACCTTGCAGGGACAGCCGCGAGCTGAGAGAGTGGAGAGAAGACGATGTCAGAGAAAGACCTCGAGTCAGCTGAAGTTAGAAAGGACAGGACCACTGAGGCACTGGACGTGGGGTGAGGGGAGGGCGGAGGTTCAGCTCGCACCTGTTCTTGGATTGTGCAGGGAG